GATCTACTCTCCATGGCACTTGAAGATAGGACAGGAAGCAATGGGTGAAAGAGATCCAGCCTTGAAATAATGAGGTATTTCCTGATAGTGAGAGCTAGCAATGGGACAGCTTGCCTCCCAGAGATGTAGGTGCTCCATCAGTGGAGATTTTAAAAATAAATAAATAACTAAAATAAAACCTCCAACACTGGAGGTTTTTTAAAAAAAACAATATTAGGCAGGGCATTGGACTAGAAGATCCCCAAGGTCCCTTCCAGCCCTGTGATTCTATGATTCTTCCTTGGGCTAAGAAAGAGAGTGAGTGGCCCAAGATCATCCAGCTGTCTTCATACCTACGGTGGGTCTGGACCTCACAGCCACTGTATTAACTGGCTCTCCTGTTGATCTGTCTGTATGTCTGTGTATTTATGAATAGCAGAAATATTCTTAAAAATTAAATACTTATTTTTAAATAGTTGTGGAGTCTAAAAACAGCTACTGAAATCATTTTCATTGAAATGCTATAAAAAATGAAACTGGAGAATTTGTTGAGTTACAATTCTACAATCCTTCAATCAGTGACCATTGGGGCACAAAGATGCCTTTGGGATTTCTGCACACTTCTCTGAAATTAGGAATTCCCAACCAGAGGAAAATTAAAGTTGTTCAGATTCAAAAGGGAAGAGTCTAGTCAACCTCTCATTTCTAGGATGCTACCTGTTCAGTCGTGGGGGAATTGAACTCAGCTTTAAAATAAAAAATCAGAAAAGAGACAGGTGCAAATGTATCTTCATATTTCTAGCCCACTGACTATTGCTAGCTTGGCATAGAGATGACCGAAGCTCCATCATAACATTTTGACCTCTTGACCTCATTTCTTCCCTTATAAAACAAATGAATTCTATAGTACATTTGTTATGCTTTATATATAATACTGACATTTTAAAAATATGGATATTTGACATAGAATGAACAAGCCCAGAAATCATATTATAATCCCTGAAGATCCTGAAAATGGACTGAAGGAATGCAAGTAGAGCATCAATAATCTTTAGGCCCAGAGTTTTGGGCTGGGTTGCTTATGATGGCCGTCCCTCTTCCTTTTCTTCTCTGTTACCAGGCTCCTTGCATATTGTTTCTACTCCTACTTATGTATGCAACCCAAATAACAGATTGTCTTTTCTGTTACAAGCTCCTCATAATGTCAGTCTTTCACACCTGAAACAAAAACTCAAAATGACACTGATTCCTTGTTCTTTTTTTAATTTTCATTAATTTCCTGAAATAAATTCAATCAGCTACCATGCACCTTTCTCTCTGCAATGTTCAGTTACAAAAGGGTATTGGATATGTTCCAAAGGTCCTTTTCAGTTGACCCTAACCTCATGGGACATGGTGAGTACGAAATCTTTCTTCCGTCCTCTATAATATGCTGGTTTTAGAAATTGGAAAGATTTGTCTACACTTGAATTGATATGGAACAAGCTCCTTCAGAAGAGAGCTTGAAAGTCACTGGTATGAGTAAACCCCAGCACTAATTTCAAGTCTCAAGCATCCAATTTAATGCTATCCTTCATCTTGTGGTTATTATAAACTCTCTCTCTCTCTCTCTCTCTCTCTCTCTCTCTCTCTCTCTCTCTCTCTCTCTCTCTCTCTCTCTTTCCCTCCCTCCCTCCCTCCCTCCCTCTGTCTCAACATGGATCTCCAAGGCAAAGCAGCAATGAGAAACAGCAAACATATTGGAGGAAAAATTATATATAAGTGGTCCCATAATTTTTCACTTACTAGCCCCATATCACCTATTGAGATCTGATCATAGAGATTATCTTTACACCTGTTCTGTGCATGGTCAGAAGGGCATAACATGCTGCCTTATCAAACACATCAGACCTGTGATCCATAAGACAAGGATGTTGTACAGATATTGGTAATGCCCACTATTTTGAAGCCTTCTGACAAATCTTTTAGCCAATCTTATTAACAGGACTTCTTTTTCAATCAATTCATTCAAGGTACAAATTTCTATCTTTTTTTCCTAACACTATTTTTCTCTGTCATTTTTATTATTCTTTTTTGCATGATGTTTCTGCTGCTACTGAAATATATCTGTACCCATTTAATGGTACTATAGTATTTACTAGTGGATACATCTTTCAAATCATTGAGTTAGTTTCTCAAGATGTTCAAAATTGTGTGTGCATTTTTCAGGAAAAAAAATAAAGAAAAAGAATATAATTTCTCTCTTCTGGCAAACAGCCTGTGCTCTTGCTATAAATATAAATCAAAACACAAAATGATGGGTTAAACTTCTATGTTTCTTAGAATTTCAGCAATATAAACTGAAGAAAGCTACTTGATTATGTGTGAAACATAGTGAATATGCACCATATTCTTTAACAGGTGATCACAAAATAACAAAATGTACTAGCACTATGGTGTCTTGGAAACAAACAGGGTTCCTGGGCAGAATCTAACCAAAATACATTCCATCACAGCCTCGATCTCATAAATTCCTGAAACTGTTTGATTGCCAATATTGCTGAAGAGCAACATAGAGAAAACACTGGTATTTTTTTCATTTGACAGTTCGCTTTCAGAGATACAGGAAGCTTTGATGAAGAATCAAGTCCATAACCCATCTGCCTTTCTTTAAAAATTATTCTGTTTACTGATAGCAACGAAGAAAAGTTTTTCCTCTTTTGCAGCTCTAAACCTATATAGTGATGATAAATGTGAAGAAAATGGAGGCTATGGAATTTTTCAGAACTTTTTTTTTGCTGATACAATTTTTGCTGATACAGCATCCTGATTTATTTTCTTAATATTAATGTTCAATAGATTGCATAATTCTGCTGGTGCCATTGGTCCTATATGGCATGCCATAATATATTATTCATTATATTACTAGCATATTTTCAGAGCTTGACATTTAGTTGTGCTTTATATGGACAGTCATTTTGAACAGTCGATATTATATTTAGTTTGCTATGGTTTTATTGTGCAGTTGAGCTAGAGTGCTGTAATTACAGCTGAACAGTTTCTTTTCTATGGATCAGTTTAAGCACTGTGTATTTGTGAAAAATGTGTCTATAAATAACCTGGGTCTGCCTGTGACTGCAAGATGCTGACACTCCAGCCAACGGCCCACGATGCAATTCTTTGGTGGTATTGAGATTCACTACTTCTCAAGAAATGAGACCTTCTGCATATAGTAGAGCAGTGTTTCCCAACCTTGGCCATCTGAGGATGGCAGGGGAGTAAAGCCCACACGTCTTCAAGTGGCCAAGATTGGGAAACACTGCACATATAAGAAACCAGGGGAAAACTCATAGCATCATCTTCCAACTCCTCTTTGATTACAAAAGAGGTCCTATTTTTAAGGGAAATGTGCTTTACTGTTTCAGCCTACCAAAGCAGGGCATGCAGGTCCCAGCTCAAGTAAGTACCAGTTTACTGCCCAGAAAGTTCCTGGAATGGATGGATTCCACTACCATGATGGATCACTGAGTATATTTTAATTTACTCCAGAGTAGAAAAATGTATTATTGAAACAAGTGTATTCCATTGACAGACATCCATTTCCAGCATATGTAAGCAAGACATAACCACCCTAAAATTCCCTGAATGCTACTCAAGTAGAAATATTAGCAAAAGGCTCTCTTTCGAGATTTGGAAAAATGTGATGACTTGAGGCTCTGAAGAAATGCTGTAATTTAGTAATTAGCTTACAAGTCCTTCCAGGTACAATTCCACCTTTGGCTATGAATCATAAAACTTAACGAGTGACTGCAGATGATCTATGTCATCCCTTGTGCCTTACTTTGGAATATATAGCTGACATTGGTGTGCCTTGTGGACTTTCTGCAATCAAGCCTATAACCCCAGTTTCAATCTTTCTTTTCCCTGCTTTTTAAACACAAAGCAGCTTCTAGGTCCCAGCACTATAAGAACACTCAGTACAGCAATCTCAGTCTGTGCCTGTTGTGTCAGTACAATGACTCATTTGGACTATGTAATAATAGGAAATATGTACATTCACATAAAAGGTACGGGAACAACTCAGTGATGTATATGAATATTAAAGAAGTAACTTGATATGTTAAAAAAAACTATCAGTAAACTTGAGTGTAGTTTCCAAAGCCCTTCCAAAAACTTGGCAGTAAATTGTATTTTTAATGTCACAAGAGAATTAAATGCATGGCAAGTATATGCTATTCCTAGCAACTATATTTAAATAATATAATTGCAATTAGATTAAAAATAAATTCATTTTACTTTGTGCACTAATATTTTGGACGGTAGTCCCAACATTCCATTCAAAGGCCAGATAAGTTCTTCTCTGTAAAAATGGCTTGACTCAACTTTCCAATAAAACTCATCAGGCATGATGTTGGGTTTTATACAAGGAATCAAGCAGATTCATTGTTAACGGAGCCTGGCTTTAGACAGCTGAGTTCCTACCTGCTCATCTCAAAAGGCTGACTTCATCAGTATGATGCTGTGAAGTTGGTGCACAGTACATCAGTTTTATCCCACTCCTCCCCAAAAAGTTATTTTGCAAAAAAAAAAAAAAAATTCCATATATCTCTAATATTCCATCTGTTGTTATTGTGGCTGAGGTGTTTAATGAAAGTCACGATGCAAGTCAGCCAAACTGGGTTTGACAACAGAGAGGCAGCGTACAGCCGGATCCCCCAAAAACTGTGCATAAATACATGATACAACTCTAGGATCTAAGTTCATTATGGCGGTGGGGCTTAAACACCATGAAATTTATAATATTATAAACGATGTCTCCAGTCACGTTTTACAACCCCTAAGATTCCCTTACTTAAAGTGGCTTATATCGGGAGGAAATATCTTTTATTCCTAAACCTAAAAAAGATAATTATTCAGAGGACCACCAACAATCTTGAAAAAGGGGGTGAGCGAGGCTTAAAAGTTTCCGGGCGGCATTGTTGGATGCTGGCCCCGCCTTTTCTGGGCGGATCTTTGTCAGTTTCGCCTTTCGTAACTTTCCTACTTGGAACTCAACTGAGATGCTCAACTTGCGAGGAGCCGCGGAGCACCGAGCGCTCTCGGTTCCCTCCTCAGTCGACAGGATCCTCAGACGAGGGATTGGGGCGCAACCCCTCCTCCTTTGCAACCCCGCAGTGCCCCTGGCCCGGGGAGTAGCTGAGCGGGCTCTGGTGGAGTTTTGAGCCCATCACCAGGAGGGCTCTAGAACCGGAACGGAGGGCTCCAAAAGATCGGAGGAAAAAACTGGGAAGGAGCGCGTAAGGGGGGAAAAAACAACAACAACCAGACGTTTCCATCCCTCGGATCCCACCGTCGGCCGGAGCAGATTTGCAAGTAAGTCCCGAACGCGGCGCGCCTCGGGGCAGCGCTTGCTTGGTGCGCTCGGGAACCGGGAGTAGGCTGGAGCTTTTCGGCGACTGAGCGCGGCTGCAGACCGGCGCGTGTGCCCTGAGCCCGGGCCGGGAAGGAATGCTTCCTCGGGGCGTAGCGATGCTGCGGCCGCCTGGTGCGCTTTGGAGAGCAGCCTCTTTTGGCGAAGAGGGGGAGACCGGGGCTTCGCCGCGGCCATTCGACGGGTGGTGTGTCACGGCGTGCGTTTGTCATTCTCTCCGCCCGGGCTAAAATTGCCCCGATTACTTTGGGAAAGTGACTCTGAGTTCAGTCCTGGTGAACTGAAATGTACAACCAGAAGTCCCTCCCTCTCACTTGCTCGCTCTCCCGCTTTTTTAATTTTTTTTATTTATTTTTTTCCCCCTCTCTTATGCGCTTCATGTCGCTGCTAAGGGGGTCCCCCACGCGCAGGTAAGCAAGGCAGGCAATCGGGCCGGGAATTCTGACGGGGTGATCATCAGGGCTCCTGAAGGCTAATTGGACGCTGGCTGTGAATTTAAGAACACCGGTCCTGGATCGGACCTCGTGAAAGTTGATCGGGGGCCAAACGGCGTTTGCAGAACCTGGCAGCTCTCCTGCTAGGCGCGCGCAGCAATTGGGGGGGGGGGTTATCGAGCCCCTTCTATCGTCCGCAGCGCCACGGCCCCCCCCCCTTTTTTTTTTTTTTTTTGCTCAGTCTGAGACGCACTGCTGGACGAGTGGGAACGGAGGAGGAGTGGGGTTTGTAGCCTGCTCCTCACCCCCTCCTCCTCCGGGAGACCATCGGGGGAAGGGTCGAGCCACCTCTGTCCGTCGTAGGGAGAAAGGGGTTGGGGCAGCTGAGCTGCGAGTTGGTCTGCTGCTCCCATAGTATCGCGCTGTACCCCTCGCGGGGGGGGGAATCTTCTCCCTCCCATCCCCGCCGTCCCGTCCGACGTCCCTTTTGTGCCTTCTTCTCCAGCGCTCCGCCGCTGATCCCCGCGGGGTCAGAGCGCACGCATCTTCCCAAAGGAGCGGGGAGAAAAAGGCCCCTGCTGCACCCGAGCAGCGTCGGGGGAGGGGAGACTGGCTTGCTGAGGATGGGACAATCCACTAACGGATCGACCGGAGTTGGTGCTCCCCGCCCCCCAACTGGCATTAGCAAGTGTGACTTCTCACCAACCATCCGCTCTCTCGCCTCCCCCTTTCCGTCGAAGCACCTGCTATTTTGATTTCCTTTCAACTCGCACTCTCGCGCTCATTTCCATGACAACAAGGAATGTCACAACTAAAGATTCCATCTTAATTGGGGGTGGGGGATGGGGAAGAGAAGACCTGATCCGATTCAAAGTGTCAAGCCTTCGGTGGGCGCTTCTGAGTTCTATCGCAGTTGGATCTTGGATAGCCGGAGGGGTGGGGTATCTAAACTTTGCCTGGGCTGGGCTCTTAGTCGTGTGGACGTGGGTGTCGACCTGCGTTTTCTCCCCCTCTAATTCCAATCTCCGAGACTCCCGCGAATGGAGCCGAGTGTCGTCAACTTGGCTGCAGTGGCTCAAGTGGGCCCGCAGGGTTGCTTTAGCGTGGGAAGTTAAGGGCAGAAGAGGAAGACCACGGGGTGGATAATTGGTGCGCGCGTGTCCCTGAGCATAAATCATTTGGTGAACAAGAAAAGACGTTTGCTGAGAACAGAACGGGAGATAAAGATCTCAGTTTCATCTGATCCCGATAGGTCTGGTCACATCTGCATAAGGCTGCATTCGCTGCGTCGTTCCTTCCTTAACTACAGGGGGCTTTTCTGACAAACGTTTTGACACGCGGATAAAAGCGGTGACATAAATATAAAATTAAATTTAAAACAAGTTAAATGCCTTTGATTGACATCATTGGGATCATCTACCTATCATAAATGTGGCCAATCCACCTCAAGCGGTCCCAATTTTAAAACAAATCTCAAAATACTACTTGCCTATACGGATGCATTAAATATCACATTTGCACTAATCAATGAGCAAAAAAGTGTTCATAGAGGCTTGCCTGCTGGCATTTTTTTTTTCAGTAGATGTTGACGCATGTCGAAATCATATTCTTTATTCAATGTATATGCTTCAATGCTTATTTAATGCAATGAGAGTCCATATTGGAAGGAAAGCATATGGATTAATGGTATATGAAAAGAATGAGCAGAATATGAAATCAAATTCCAAAATCATTCCCCTCCATATGGAAACCAAATGATTTCAGATAGCAAATTCCTGACTCTTCTCGAGTCATGATTTATTAGCATCTATTGACTTACATGGGGAAAAAATCTTGAGGTGTCAGGATCTTCCAATCTATCCAGCAACCAGCGGCCTGCTAAATGGTGGAGTACAAATTCCATCATTCCCAGCTATGGATATAAAATCAACCCATATAGTAAACAAGAATTCTCTTTGGGCTTACCATGTGTGGTGTCTGTCTCCTCAAAACTGACAGTGATAAATACGGTTCTAATGAAAAGAGCTGTGAGCCATATTTTTTTAAAAAAATATTATCTGCAGTGTTAATATTGGATTAAGCAGTGAAATGTAAGTATCTAATACATATATTTTCAAAACATAAAAATATAAAAAAAAATAAGCCAGACACAATTGAAAAGGCCATTTCTTTTTCATTCCAGATTTTGTTGTACTCTAGAACAGGGGTCCCCAACCCCCGGTCTGTGGACCGGTGCCAGGCCACAGCATGCCAGCAACTGGTCTGCACAAACAAGCAAAGCCCCCATTCGTGGGATGCAGGCAGCACACAAAACCACGCACTCTCCCGTCCACGGAAAAACCTTTCTCCATGGAACCAGTCCCTGGTGCCCAAAGGTTTGGGGACCTCTGCTCTAGAATCAAAATACTCTCTTTTTAAAATACAGGAATACCTCTGAAATATTGTGGGTTTAGTTCCAGACGGCTGCAATAAAGCAAATATCTCAAATCACACACACAATTTTTTTTATTTTCTGGTGCATATAAAAGTTACGTTTACTCTATACCATAGTCTATTAGGTGTGAATAGTTTTATCTTTAAAAATCAATGTACATACCTTAATTAAAAATATTTTATTGCTAAAAACACCAATCATCATCTGAGCCTTCAATGACACAATCTTTTTGCTAATGGAGGGTCTTGTAAAAAAAACATTTATCTGTGACGCACAATAAAATGAAACACAGTAAAACAAGATACGCCTGTGTAGATAAATGTGCCCTTAATTGGAAGGCCATTGATTACAATTTATCCCCACTCTGCGTATATAGATGCCTCTTCAGGTTTTAATTCAATAGTAGGCAATCAGTGGCTATCATACAGCCTTCAACAAACTTTATATCCCCGCCCAAATTCTTTTTCCAGTTGAAAGTTGTGGTTGTTTTTGCTTATTAAGATAAAGTTGAAAAAGCAAAGTTGTAAGGAGACACTACAAAGTTTATGCAACCATTTCACCCATAATAGCCTGCCATACATCCCTCCAAGAGGGCCCAATTCAATCCCACCAATTCTAATAATTTAATTATCACCTGTGTTCCCTGTGCGCTCTTGAATATCACAAAATGTAAATGTGATCAAAATTTTGCCCATTCCAACTCTAGGCGATTGATCTGATCAGAGCATGTGACCTGTCCTACCTCAGGTTCCCTTGGGTTGATAATTCCACTTATCTAGATTCCATTAGTGATACCTGGAGAGACAGTATTCCATTTGTAAGGTCAGAGGCTGATCAAATATTGGGTTTTTTCCTCCCTAAAGACTCTGTTCCCTATGATTACCAGCCCAACTTACTACTGTAACAGATCATGTACTATATAAAATAAAATATTAACACTCTTTAATACAAATTATTTCTCTTGTGCTCAGCTCCATGAACTTTTCATTGATTTCCTAGCTTCATCATCCTACTTTGGGAATGGGATGATTTCCAATCAGTGTCAGTTTCACACGTTTGCAGTGAAAATCCTTTCTATCTTCCTTCTGCATCAGAGTGCAATTTATGAAATGTAATGAACTGCCTATTAAGTGCTGAGCTTAGAGGTCCCCAGACAGCCAAACAATAAAGTAAGCTATGCTTTCCAGAAACATAAAACAACTGCTTAAGAGGTCATGTGCTAATGTACCTATAATTAAAAGCTAGTAGGGTTTTCTTCCAGAAAAAGTGATATTAGGCCTACAATCTCCGAAATACTAGTCTGATACTGTAAATATCTCCTCCCAGAGTATGTGGCTGTGGCTCCACAATTAGAGCTCACCCCAAAGGCTTCCTCAATATACACCCACTAAATGCATATACACTCTTTCAGTGTGGAAAGCTGATACAGAGACCAACTGTCCCTTTGAACAGTTTCTACTCTCTTTCATCCTGAAAGAAAAGAGCATCTGTATTCTGTTATGGGTTAAATAAAGAACAGATGCAAATTGCCCATGAAAAATTGAGGCAAAGAAAAATAAAATAAATGAAGACTTGTCATGAATTCAATACAGTGCATTAGGGGTGGCTCTTTTTAAACAAAGTCACATCATTTAATGCACAAATGCATACACAAAATTCAGTAAGGATCGATGTTTTCCTTTGGACTCTTTCAGTGAACAGCTTTAGTTTGGCAAAACTAAAATACTTCAAAGTCCCTTCCAAGATGCATGGAAAATTATAATTGATTGCATATAGTAACAGATAAGGGGATAGATGGGGAACTCATCAAATTTGCAGATGACACCAAGCTGGCAGGAATAGCCAACACTCCAGAAGACAGGCTTAGGTTACAGGAGGATCTGGACAGACTAACACTGGGCGCTATCTAACAAAATGAAATTCAATGGTGAAAAAAGTAAGGTTCTACATTTAGGCAAGAAAAACCAAATGTACAGGTATAGTATAGGGGGTACCTTGCTCAATAGTAGTAACTGTGAGAGGGACCTCGGAGTCCTAGTGGACAATCACTTAAATATGAGCCAGCAGTGTGCTGCAGCTGCCAAAAAGGCCAACACAGTGCTAAGCTGCATTAACAGAGGAATAGAATCAAGATCACATGAAGTGTTAATACCACTTTACAATGCCTTGGTAAGGCCACACTTGGAACACTGCATCCAGTTTTGGTCACCACGATTTTAAAAAGATGTTGAGACTCTAGAAAGAGTACAGAGAAGAGCAACAAAAATGATTAGGGGAATGGAGGCTAAAATATATAAGGAACAGTTGCTGGAATTGGGTATGTCTAGTTTAATGAAGAGAAGGACGAGGGGGGACATGATAGCAGTGTTCCAATATCTCAGGGGCTGCCACAAAGAAGAGGGAGTCAAGCTATTTTCCAAAGCGCTGAAGGCAGGACAAGGAGCAATGGCTGGAAACTAACCAAACAGAGAAGCAACCTAGAACTAAGGAGAAACTTCCTGACAGTTAGAACAATTAACCAGTGGAACAACCTGCCTCCAGAAGCGGTGAATGCTCCAACACTAGAAGTTTTTAAGAAGAAACTGGACAGCCATTTGTCTGAAACGATATAGGGTTATCTGCCTGAGCAGGGTGTTGGACTTGATGACCCCCAAGGTCCCTTCCAACTTTATTATTATTATTATTATTATTATTATTATTATTATTATTATTATTATTATTAATAATAATAATAATAATAATAATATCTCTCAGAATTTACGCACACTTTCTAGACAAGCTTCTTGAAATGGAGTGAAAAGATGTGTGTCTTTTTGTAGAACAAAGACTATAATGGAATGGATATTTATTATGTTTCTCCAGCAGCTTCAGGAGGGTCTCTTTTCTCCTTTCATTCCCCCCACCCACATAACTCCATGAGCTAGATTGGGATGTGAGAGGCCATAAATGGTCCTAAGTCACCCAGTGGAGTTTCTATGGTTGAAAATGGACTCAAATCTGTCTCTAGTCTTGACCACTACCCTGACTCTAACATTAAGCTGCTAGTCTACTCAATGAGTGTCAACCTTGGCAACTTTAAAGTGCATGGACTTCTGTACTTAGAATTCCTCAGCCAAGACTGCTGGGAAATTCTGGAAACTGAAGTCCATCCATTTAACTGAAACATTCTGTTAGTGAAACTGCATATGGTGTCCCCAGACAGAGTCATTTCAGCTAATGATGCCGAAGAACTTGATGCTGAAGATTTAACAGTGACTTCGGGGTACAGACTTGGATTCATCACTGACCTTTTAAAGCTAGATAAAATTTTTATCAGTCTACAATAATTGCCCTATCATTTTCTTGACATAACATTTTATGAGAACAAATAAATAATTTCATCAGATCAGCCGCAATTTTGTTCAACTACCCATTCTTTTATATCCATAACCCGGAGTGTTTCAGTAAATTTCATCCTTTCATCATCTTGTCTATTACCAGTCAATGTCAGATTTGATTTTTTTTTCCCCACTTGTCTCTGGGGGGGGGGAGTCAGGTTCACATTTAATTTAAACATATTTCCTCTACAATACACACACACACACACACACACATACACACACATATATAAAATTGTAATGTACTTTTTAAAAGTGAGAACATCATAGAAACAATCAGAAAAGTGTGCTGTCCAACAGTAACCCTTTTCCAATTTGTGTATTCACAGATTGCAAATTAAGTTTGTTCACTTAAAAATGTGGAGTGAATTAAATCTTTATACATCTGTAATTGTGAGTTGTTGATGCTTGATTTTGTTGGCACATTAACTGAAGCAGTCTTGGATTAAAGGAGTTTTTTTTTAACTTTTCAAAACCATGGAACAGCAAACAACTACTACAATTATATATTTTAATGTAATATATGAGGTTGCTTATGACAGCATTTTTTCATCAGTCCAAAATGAGATTTTTTTAAAAAAAAAATCCTTATATGCTCAGTTCAAGTTTAGATACTTGCATTTGGTTGAGAATGCTGAAAATTTGCTTTCACAAAGATATATTGAAGAAAAAAATTAAAAAAACTTTCATTGCTTTTTCACCTATAAACTCATACTCCCTGGGAATTTTTCCATCAAGAAGTCATAATTTTTCTGACAATATGACATATGAGAAGCAATCTGCCAACATTTCATCATTTATAGCTAGAGGCATTTGTTTGGCTAGAGAAATTAAATGGATCTGAAACCAGCATGAAAAAAAACTTTCTGATGGATATGGGGGCCAATGCATGGAACACCTTCAAGTTTGGGGGAGCGATGGCAATGCATGCAACATAGTGGAAGGTCCACTGACTTTAAAGCACATTTTGTAAATCCAGGAATTTCCTACTGCAGAAGTAGCAAAACATGCCGCTCTCCCTCCTGTTGACTTAAAAGTCCAATTTTTTAATTCTGCTTTACATTTTTTTTTTTTTTACAATGCTGGGGTATCTTTCCCCAGGGCACAAAAGAAATGCTGCATATTCTTAATGCATCCAGAAAGTTTCTTCTTGCGCTGCAGCTTAGAAATAGATTCATTCTAGAGATTTAAAAAATAATTGCTTTCAGACTTTTGGAAATGATCTGAAGTAGCAGGTAGTATTAATGTCTCTTCTACTGGCAGCAAACATGTTTCATAGGTTCTTGCATTGACTAAATAGGAAAGTGACTAGATAAAGTGTACATATACTGCAGTTTCCGGTTTCAAATCTCAAAACCTCTAAAAGGCACCAGATTGGCAAAAGAGAGTGTAGAACACTGACTAGAATAATGCTTTTCTGAAACTATCCTACTTTGAAAGATTTTTTTTCCTGCCTCTATCAGTGATGGATCAGAAAATTTGGTTGCTTGGGGACAGTGCTGGAATTTTCATTGTTACCAGACTTCTGGTTTTATTTTATTTATTTTTTGCTGCCATAGACTAGCATAGCTCACCTCCTACAATTGTTAGATGGATATATTTTCCTCAAATGGATGCCAGCATTTCGGCTTTTTAGGAAAACATGCCTTGTCTTTTCCTCTCATAACAATATGGGATGAAGTTTAAGAGATGGGCTATATCAGTGGTGGCAAACCTCTGGCACATGTGCCAGGGGCGGCACTCGGAGCCCTCTCTGTGGGCACATGTGCCGTTGCCCCAGCCTTGCCTCCCCCCATGACCCGCTCCTCACCAGCAGCCCCCCTGGAGGAGAGTCACCCCCGAGTGTGGCCCATGTGGAGCAGCGCAGCCAAGGACATGGCAGCCAGGCAGCGTAGACAAGACTCTGCCCTTATGCCCCATCACGCACAGTTGATACTGCGGGGCACGGGCAGAGGGCGTGGCTGCCATGGTGCTGCTGGGCTGCCTGGGCTATCTGTGGCGGGCTCTGGAGGCGGTGAGTGGCCCTGCAGGCAGGCAGGGTGGTGGCAGGGCAGGGGGTGGAGAGGGGCGGGACCAGTTTGGGGGCACTCGGTCTCTAAAAGGTTTGCCATCACTGAGCTATATTGACTGAGCCTGGAAACAAAGAATAGTCATATCTATTGATTGTGAAGCTATATCTCATTATTGTACAAAATTTGCTTTTTCTGCACATTGAGTCCAATTCTGACCATTTCATACTTCAGTTGTCACCATCTTATTTTATTTTCACTTTGTTCTTACATGTTTGCACATCCATTTTTAGGAAAGTATTGTTTTTACTATACAATTACACAAAAACAATTTAATAATTGGACTTACACTGTAGCAAAGTTCCTATTCAGAGCCAATCTTACTATGAGGCAGAGTAAGACAAATTTGGGGTTTACTGTTAAAGGTAATCATTTTATTGATCAGCTTTTCTTTCTACAGTGAGATGAAATTTCTAATAAAGAGGAAAATATATTTGACTTGGGACTATTTATAGCTACCAGCTCAACGGAAGCTTAATAAAATTCTAGAGCAGTGGTTCTCAACCTGTGGGTCGGGACTCCATTTGGGGTCGAACGACCATTTCACGGGGGTCGCCAAACAAGGCTGCCCGCCATTTTTTCCCCCTTTTCTTTGGCCACACCCCTGGCACCCGGTGATGTATAAGTGGTTGGGGGTCACCACAACATGGGGAACTGTATTATGGGGTCATGGCATTAGAAAGGTTGAGAACCACTGTTCTAGAACGAGACATGGCTTTGAACATAATTCTAGAATCTTTTTACCATAGCATGAAATAATTGCAAATTAAATCTTTGCATTTTATCCAGAAGCTGCTGAAAGATCTTCATGAGTTGTCAATTAGCTACAAAGCAAGGTTCATGAACTTACTTTGACATATACGACCTCAAAGATTTCAAAATGGCATGCAGTGAATGAAAAAGAGATATGTTTTATTTCAAAATTCTAGTGAGGATAACCCTATTATTTTTTTAACACAAAATCAAATTTGTCTTTCCTGATATCTTTACCCAACAGAAAAACAAGTTGTTTTCCCCCCCAAATTATTACTGTACAGCCATGTTACCATCACTAAGAATAGAAATCCTGTGGAAAACAACCAAATGGAGGGCATTGCAAATTGCTACAGGTAGCCCTGCAAAAAAAATCTGAATGCCTTTAAAGATACTATTGCTTCCAAAAAGCTGATTGTCCAGAAAATTTAACCCTTTTTGTGACACCTGACCATGGCTTCCCAGTTTCTTTCCAGTTCAGTTAACCTTATAACTGTTACACCGTTCTAGCCTGGTGTTTCATAATGAAGAAATAAACCACAAACAGGAATGATGAACGAACTTTACTGAAGAAGTGAAGTATGAGAAAATTCGGCACTGAGAATTGCCTGTTCTCAGCGCCTTTACATAATGGACCTGCCCGCCACGCCCCCAGTGAAACCAACCCCACCCAGCCAACACTCTGTAAACCACTATCCAGCTACAAAACATAAATAACACGCCCCTGTGCCCTTAACTCCTCCTGACAATCATCTGGCCATGCGCCTCCCGACAATCATCTGGCCATGTGCCTGCTCACAGTCCTCAGTCTATTGTCAGGCTTCTGCGAGGCTCTGAAGCTCTTTCGTCCTCTGTGGAGATGCCGAGTGATGACGTCATAGGAAGGCTGCAACACCTCCGTGACTCTGAGGACAGCTGACCAAGACGGAGACAAGCACTTGCCAGGAAACAGGGACAGGTCCGTAAACCGGAGGGCGATGAGGTGACCGGTGGGGTTTCTACCATGCTCCGATAGCTTTGCAGGGCCCGACATGCCACCCCCCTTACCAGGGTTCCCTCTGGAAAGGAAACAAAGCAAGGTTATCTATGGTATGGCTCTGGTGACAATGTCCCTCCCCCCCCGGTTTTCCTGGGTATTTTTTATGGAATACCTGGACTAATTAGGGTGCATTCACATCAGCTACTTTCACCCAAGATGCTTCCGACAGAGGGTACCCTTTCCATAAGACCAAATAATACAGCCTACCCATTTCTTTCGTGAGTCCAGTATCTCCTGGACCTCATAATGGCCAGACGTTACAGGGCCGGGTGCTTCCGTCACTCGATAGTGGGAAACTGGTTTCAACAGACTACTGTGAAACACGGGATGGATTTTTCCCAGAAACCGGGGGAGTTGGAGTCTCACTGTCACTGGATTAATTACCTGAGTAATTCTGAATGGACCGATATACTTTGGCCCCAATTTTTTGCAAGGAACCCTTAAATATATGTACTTCGTAGACAAATACACCATCTGCCCCCCACTAAATGGCTTATGTGGTCTGCATTTTTTGTCTGCTTGTACTTTTGCAGTCTCGCTTGCACTCTTTGTTAGGGCCTTTTTTACTATACCCCATACCCCACTAACTCGAGATAACCAGTCATTGGGCAGACATGGATGGGATTCGTAATTTCTGTATTCAGGCATAGGTATGAACTCTCTACCACACACCACCCAGAAAAGAGTGAAGCCGGTACTGCTGTGTACAGCATTGTTGTAAGCTACTTTCGCAAATACTACCAGCTCCACCCAATCGGTCTGTTGGTACGAAACATAGCTCCGCAGGTATCATTCTACTGCTGCATTCGCCCGTTCCACAGCGCCGTTCGTGTTTGGATGGTATGCCGAACTTAGTCCTTGTGAAGAGCCAAGTAGACACACAAAGTTCCGCCAAAACTGAGCCATAAATTGAACTCCACGATCTGATATGTTCCGACGTGGGGTCCCATGGAGGCAATAGACATGGGTTAGAAACATGTGGGCTAACCTTTGGGCTGATGGTAATCCCTTGCAGGGAATAAAATGGGCCTGTTTAGAGAACAGATCACTCACTGTCCAAATTACTGTGTAACCTTTGCTATCAGGGAGATCCACGATAAAGTCCATGGCTATATCCTGCCATGGATACTCTGGGTCAGCCACTGATTGCAGAAGCCCCATAGGTTTACCTGGGTTAGACTTGGAGGTAGCACATATTGGGCAACTTTTTACATACTTTTCTAGGTCAATTCTCATTTGGGACCACCAAAACTGGCGTCTAGCGAGATGCAAGGTCTTTAAAAACCCAAAATGGCCTGCCTGTTTGGAGTCATGGCACCGATGGAGGATACGGTTGCGTAATGTGTGTGGAACATACAGTTTAGTCCCATACCAGGCCAACCCATCCCGCCGAGTTAACAATCCTGGGTGCTTCTGAAACCAGACGTCATGTGTGAGGGCCGCTTTCAGTTCGTCTTCCAGATCTACAGCGAATGGACGGGATACTGCCTTGGCGACACCCTGCGTATATGGAGGTAGGATCGCTTGCACCACCTCCTCCCGTTTGCTATCATACTTTGGCAACCTGGACAATGCATCTACGAGGAATTTTCAGCCGCCTGGTACATGTTTAAAGTGAAACCTGAAACGCCGAAAGTACTGTGCCAAACACACATGTTTTGGTGATAGTCATCTTGGGGTTTGTAACACCTCTAAGTTTTTATGGTTGGTCCAGACCTCGAATTCATGTTTTGCCCCTCCAATAAATGCCTCCATGTGGATAGGGCCCATTTAACAGCAAAGGCCTCCTTTTCCCAGATGGCCCACGCCCTTTCGGCTTCAGTTAGCTTCCGTGACGTGTATGCGCAGGGCTGTAATGTTCCAGTTGGATTTCGTTGTAACAGGACTGCCCCCACCGCTACGTCACTAGCATCCACCTGAACTATGAATGGTTGTTCTGGATTCAGATGTAACAGAACGGGTTCCTTGGCAATTAAAGCCTTCAACGTTTCAAATGCCAACTGGCACTCAGCGGTCCAGGCTAGTGCCTGTCCAGGTTGTGGCCGTACGGTACTTTTCCGGGTCCGCAGTAAATCCGTGAGAGGCAAAGCCACCTTTGCAAATGCAGGAATGAATTGCCTGTAGAAATTAGCAAAACCTAAAAAGCTTTGCAATTGGCGTCGGGTTCGCGGGGCTTGCCATTCCAAAACACTTTGCACCTTTGTTGGGTCCATCTCTATCCCTGCTGCGGATATCCTATAGCCCAAATAGTCGAGGCGTGTTTTATGAAATTCACACTTTGATATTTTCACAAATAGTCAAGCATCGAGTAATTTACGCAACACATCTCATACCAGACTGATATGTTCTTCCATTGTATTGGTATAAATCAGTATATCAGCCAAATAGACCAATACTCCATGATATAGATGATTGTGTAACACCCCATTGATTAGCTGCATAAAAACTGCGGGGGCGCCCTGTAGCCCAAAGGGCATAACCCGGAATTGATAACTCCCCAGGGTACAGTTGAATGCTGTCTTCCACTCATCACCGGGTTTAATCCTAACCTGATAATAAGCCTCCCTCAGATCCAATTTTGTGAAGATCCTCCCCTGGGCTAGATGGGCTAACATGTCCTTCATTAAGGGAAGAGGGTACATGTGTTCTATACAGACCGCATTAATGCCTCTGAAGTCCACACAAAGCCGAAGGCCTCCGTCTTTTTTCTCTTGGAACAATACAGGCGCTGTGATTTGAGACCGGGCCGGTTGTATAAAACTTTGTGCCAGGTTCTTGTCGATATACTACCTTAACTCCTCCAGTTCCCGGGGTGTCATGGGGTACATCCGTGGCTTTGGCAATTTAGCTCCCGGCAAGATATCAATTGCACAGTCAGTTGGACGGTGGGGTGGCAAGCTGTCACATTCCTGCTCGCTAAATACCTCCGCAAGATCGTTATATACCGCCGGAAAGCCCAGATCTCGGTCTGATTGATTTACAGCTACTTTAATCCCATCCCTGGTCTTGTCCTCATTATTGACCCTGCTCCTAGGTGAGCCGTTGTTACTGCCTTCCTCCACTCTTGGTGGGCAAGGACCAACACCAAGGCGCATATGGCAACAATCACCTTCCCACCATATAGTAGGCCCCCACTTGTCCAACCATGCTAGTCCTAAAATCACCTCCTCCATCATGGACGGAACTATAATAAAGCGGAGAATCTCCCAATGTTCTCCCATCTCCAACCTTACTGGCTCCATTACCAGTGTGGCCAGGACCCCCCCAGAAGGGAACTGTCCACTTGTTCAAAGCGGATTGGACGTAACAAACGCCTCACTCTAAGTCCTACTTTCTCGACCACCCTCTTACTGATGAGACATCTGGTACAACCTGAATCTATTAATGCCTGGTACCAGTGGTAGGACTTGTCAGGGAAATCGGGATGGCAAATAGTACTATTGGCTGGCTTACCATAGGGTCCTCTTCCGGATCCATATTATCATATTCCTCCAGCAGGATATCAGGGGCAGCCTGGGCAGGGGGTGTTGCCTCCCCTGAAGGTCGATGGGGGTTTTCTCTTTCAGCCTGACGTAGCGCTCTTGAACGATCCGGAGTCCTCCGTGGAGTAGCACCCAGTCCTCCCTGGGTTGCCGATGTACCTTGTCCTGCTGGAACCAGACACTGCGCCACCCGACGTCCTGGCCGGTTACACCTGAAACACCTAAATGTTCCTTTATTAGGCGGTGCAGAAACAGGTGGTGAGAGGGTAGGAGGCTGGCGCCCAGGCTCTTTCGACTGGTCCCCCACCTGTCGAGGGATGGATGAGTCAGCTGCGACCAGTCGAAATTCCTGCAATCCTGCATGCAATTCGGTCACAACTCGGAACCAGTCCTGGAACCTACATGGCACACCCCGTACAATGCAGGCCTGCCTCAGGTCTTTGTCCAGTCCATTACAGAAATGGTACACCAGGAGACGCTCTGGCCATGCCCTTAACCTACCAGCCACACGTTGGAACTCTCGTACGTATTCCCGTATGGGCCTTCCCCTCTGTCGCAGTCCTAAGACCTCCATTTCAGCACGTTGAACCCGGGTGTGGTCTTCGAATCGGGCTCTCAATGCACCAAGAAACAGTCCAACATCACCAACTCCCGAGCATGATCGCTAAACAACTCAGCAGCCCAGGCAGCTGCCTCCCCCTGTAAGCTTGCTGTTATCGCCACAACAATAGCCCATTGGGAACAATACTGTGGTGCAAACCTATCTAAGTGACTCAGGACATGCCCCATAAACATTGCCAGTCTATCTGGGTCTCCATCAAATGTCACCCCAATAGGTGGAGGGACCCAGGCTATCCCTGCCGGCCACATAGTAGCTGCCTGTCCAGCCTGCTGGCTGTTGTCTGGCATGGTGATATGACGACTCCCTGGGCCTGACGCCCCTGAGCCTAAAGAGTGAAGAAACAATGTAGAGCAGCTTGTGGGTGCAGCCATTGAGGCCATGCCAGTTTGATCCTCCCGCCTTTGTCGACCCTGGTCCAGCCGAAACCTTGGGCTGGCTAAACAAAACCCAGAGGAACCCACTGGGGCCTGGGAACCTGGAGTGCCATCTGACCTGGGTAAAAAGGCCATTTCTCCAAATCTGTCACGAAGGACGTCCAAGGTATACTGCCCAGGGGCTGTAGAATAGCTCCACTCCTCATCTTCATCACCAGTAATGCGTCTCTCCCTCCATCCAGATAGGAGATCTCTCCCCCCAGTCAGATAAGGCCCACCGGCCTCCGAGTGTTGCAGGACTGAACTCAACCACCAATCCCCCGAAGATGCTGCAGATGGCTTCTGCTTAGTCTCACCCCCACTATCCACTGGCTGCTGGGCGCATTTCTTAGGTCTCACCGCCGATAAAGCCTCTGCCACCCCCGCCTCAGCTACCGTTCCCTTGTCTGTGGGCGACTCCGGGATCTCCCCCACGGGATCAGCATCCTGGACTCCCTCTGCCATAGCCGCTCCAAAACCCCCTTGCAAATGGGAAGAAAGGGATGATAACTTTGCAAGCAAAGTGGGAGTGCTGACTTACTGTTACGCTGTCCTAGTCTGGTGTTTCGTAATGAAGAAGTAAACCACAAACAGGAACGATGAACGAACTTTACTGAAGAAGTGAAGTTTGAGAAAAGTTGACACTGAGAATTGCCTGTTCTCAGAGCCTTTACATAATGAACCTGCCCTCCACGCCTTCAGTGAAACCAACCCCACCCAGCCAACACCCTGTAAACCACCATCCGGCTACAAAACATAAATAACACGCCCCTGCGCCCTTAACTCCTCCCGACAATCATCTGGCCATGTACTTCTCGACAATCATCTGGCCATGCACCTGCTCACAGTCCTCAGTCTATTGTCGGGCCTCTGTGAGGCTCCGAAGCTCTTTCGTCCACTATGGAGATGCCGAGTGATGATGTCATAGGAAGGCTGCAACACCTCCGGGACTCTGACGATGGCCGACCAAGATGGAGACAAGCGCTTGCCAGGAGACAGGGACAGGTCCATAAACCGGAGGGCGATGGGGTTTCTACCATGCTCCGATAGCCTTGCTTGACTTTGGTGAAATGGGAGGGGGATGGAGAGGGATAAGGACCATTAAGCCATTGGGGGCTCCTGACTGTCCTCTGATTGTTTCCTAGGCAGTTTCTCTCCCTTTACTTTCCCAAAGTCATCCCCACATTCCATTGCACCTTTTCTCTTTACCTCAACTCTATCCAGTTTTATCCTCTCTTTTCTTTTTCTTTCCCCCACCAATCTCATTTTCCTTCTTTCAACTCCATCCTGTTTTTGTTCCTTTCCTTTTCTGCTAAAAGAGGGAGGGAAAATGTACATAATTATAAACTTCTATGTAAGGAAGTGTGGGAGAAATCAGAAGCAGATGGGGCTCAGTTAATTTTATAAATAGGCTACCTTATTAGTAATGTCTACGTGTGTAAATAATAATAACAATAACAACAACAATAACAATAATAATAATAAAGTTGGAAGGGATCTTGGAGGTCATCTAGGTGGACAGCTTGGGATTTTTCATTTGTACTTATATTTTTCCCTTCCTTGTGGAAAGATTCTCTTAAATTCATGGTACTCAGGACAAAAATAATTCACTAAAATTCACAGTACCTCATTCTGATTCAGAGCTAATCAATATAATGATTAAGATACCAGGCTGGAAACTGAGAGAATGTGAGTTCTAATCCATCCTTAGGCAAAAAGTCAGCTGAGTGACTTTGGGCCAGTCACTCTCCCTCAGCCCTAAGAAAAAAGCAAGGGCAAGTCATTACCAAAATACCTTGCTAGAAAATTGCAGAGACTTCTCCAGGCAGTCGCACTGACTCAAAGGCATAAAATTAACCAACCAGCCATTTTGATTCATAATTACAGATCTAACCCATACAGAAATAAGTTGATTCCAAGATGTGCATCACTATTGTTCAGTCTGGAAAGGTCTATTTCTTTGTTCACCTCCTTGTACAAAAATAAGATATTTGAAACTGTTTTCATGTCCATTTAGAACTATTGCTCATAGCTAAATCTGAAAATTGTTGCTCTGCTAACTAAACCTAGATACTCAAGGAAATTAAAATTTGTACATCTAAGGGACAGATAATATTTGAGGGGAAAGAGTCAAATTAAAATGACCATCTCTTTGGGAATCAGATAGTTGTGGTGGAAAATCAAACATACCAGCTGGCATGTTGACCTTAAGATAAATATCCTATTAAATTCATTCAAAGGTAATACATTGACATAAAAAGTGGTACAAATCTGTTAGAAACGGAAGAGATACTGTAGATGAGCAGGTGAAAGAGAACAACAGGAATGGAACAGACGATAACGGGAAAACGGGAGAAAGGGAGAAAGGGAAGACCCATCTGAACATGGTAGCTTTACAACTGATATCCCCTTAGCATTCTTTAGGGAGAGAAGAAGGTTTAATTTATTCCACAGTATTTTTTTGTTTGCTGATATATAACACTGATTATTTAAAATCAGTTTTAAATCCAATTACTTTGTAGGTATTTCATATTCAAGCTATTAGTGTCATGTTTTCTCTTGAAACCCACGTATGTTTCAGGCATGTTTCTCAGTAGGATGAATGTTACATTATCTGCTCAATGGCATTATTTGTTATTGGTATATCAACACTTATTTTTCTAGGATGTTTTGTTTAGCTATACAAATTTACATCATTGACAGCCATTGTACTGTAGAAATAGAAAGACCTGGTTTGCAAGTTGAGGCAAAATCCTGAAGTTTATTGCTGGACACTAATAGTTTCAAAGAAATCTGGAAATTATAGCTTGGCAGAGTCGTACAGTAAAACCTCAGATGCAACAAATAAAATTTTCTGGGGACGGCACTTCCATTTCTGAACAGTCCAGATAATTGATGTAATTTATATGTCATTTGCATAGTTATGTAATTGATATTTTACATCATCTCCACCAATGTACTGGAATTTGGATTTAAATGGAGAGCCCATAACTCCCAAATTATTTATTAAATCAAGATTTTACCATAATTATCCTTGCCACCATGGGTTTCTTAGAGGAAATGAGGAAGACAAATGTTCATTTTGAACAGTCACTAACATTTCCTAAATTCTCAGTTATTGAGATAAAATCTTACAGCAATGTGAAAGATTCAAAACTAGTTCTAAACATCATACAAGGGCAATTCTGAAATAAACCTCCATTTGGTTATCAATGACAGACACTCGCAGATACAGAACTTTTATTTTACACATTAGAAAACTACAACATTACATTACTTTTTTGACATAATCACCATTCAAATTGAGGCACTTGTCATAACGTCTTACAAGTTTTGAAATTCCTTAGTAGTATTCACTTGGCGCCAAATCTGGGCTATGGGGGGGGCGATCAAAAACATCCCAGCAGTTCTTTGGTGCATCTAGCAATGTGCGGGAGAGCATTACCATGAACCAACACCACACCGGAAGTGGTGTCATAGAATATCTCGCCAAATGTGAAGATGCCAAAGAGTTACTGCTAGTGAAGCTCATGGAGCGTGGTTCAACCATCAATTCAGAAGTCTACTGTGAAACATTATGAAAATTCAGATGAGCCATCCATAACAAGCATCGGGGCATGCTAACTTCCGGTGTGGTGTTGGTTCACGATAATGCTCACCTGCATACTGCTAGATGCACCCAAGAACTTTTGAAGCAGTTCCGTTGGGATGTTTTTAATCACCACCACCCCATAGCCCAGATTTGGCGCCAAGCGACTATACTAAGGAATTTCAAATCTTGTAAGACATTATGACAAGTGCCTCAATTTGAATGACTATTATGTCGAAAAGTAATGTAATAGTTTTCTAATGTGCATAATAAAAGCTCTGTATCTGCAAGTGTCTGTCATTAATAACCAAACAGAGGTTTATTTCCAAATTGCCCTTGTATTAACAGAACTTGGAGATTTTTCGTGACATCTTTGCTCATTTGCTGCATTATGTACAGGTCATATATTCCTGTATTTCTATTCAGAGATTGCATGTTATGATCTTTGGTGCACTATTGTACCTGAGTGCGATCAACTATATTAACAATCACATAGAATAAAAGAATTGAGAATTCTGATTACTGAGCAGATTAAAATTATTGTAAATCTTAATTACTACAATGAAATTATCATATCCCTGTGCAGTTTATGCTATGACCACAGTAGCCAATCTTGCAGAGACTATAGCTCCCCCCATTATTATTATTATTATTATTATTATTATTGTTGTTGTTGTTGTTGTTATTATTTGCTATATTTGTTCATCAACACACTGACAAGAAGTCTTCCTAAACAGAGTGGCTGCAACAAACAAATAAGGACCGAAAACAAAATTTCAGTTCCATTTTGTCCAATTGTTTCCAAAAGGATGTAAAAACACCCAAATGTGTATGCACTAGAAACTCTGTGTTCCATGAATGAAGGAGAAAAAAATGCCATATAGCACACATGAATTATCTAGAACTCAAATGCTAACATTACATTTCATATTCCATGCTAGTTCCAAGTGATAAGATGAGCTGAGTATACCAGTAAGGGAATCTGCTAATTCAGTAGCTCATTTTTGCCTCTGCTGTGGGGCAAAATAGCCTAAACAAGCCTTTCCTACAGTGGAGATACTGTTCTTTATGGATGTTATTGCATCTATCATTCTTGCCCTGATTATTCTTAGCACTCCTATTGCCCTTTTTCAGCTTGTTCTCTCATTGCTAAACCCAAAAGAACAATAACTAAACACCCTATCTGAAGCAGGAACAAATAGCAAATGTAAGGACAGTTAACAAATTTATAGAACAACATATTTCTATATGCTATCATTCTCTTACATTCTGTCCAAAATCCAAGCTCATTTTTCTGTTTGTATTGCTGATAGATAGCAATTTTGTTAATTTGGAAAGATGGGGGGAGGGGTTCAGCTATCTCTTGCTATTTTCCACTGATCTCAAAAGCAAAGCAGCTAGTATGGAGAGAAGTCCAGCAAGAAGAATCTGTTCAAAGAACAAGGGAATTCTAGAATAATTCTTTGGTCAATCTAGAGACAAATCCATTCTTCTCTTTCTTTGAGATCAAAGATGAGCAATCTTCCCACATGAGCAACTTTGAACAACTAATGCAGATTAGTTTCACCTTTCTTGCATATCATCCATTCTCAGAGATACTTAATTTTTCCAGGATTCAAAAGAGAGTATTTTGTTTCAGGAGAAAAACATGATCTTTCCTCAAATGAGTGCATTCAGTTAGCTGTCAGTGTTGTATCACAAACATTATTGGCCCAAATTAGGGTTTCCTGTTCTCATTCCCATATATAGCATTTTTAATATTAGAAAGCTATTGTTAGATTGTACTTTTATTTCATCATAGAGAATATCCTAAAATTTTCATATGCAGACACTGAAATATATATCAGAAACCCCATTATACTTCTATTGGAGCACTTATCTAACCAGCTTTTGTTTTATTTGTTTTTGTGGTGAAGAGGTAGGGGCAGGGGAAGACTCACTAAAGCAACTCATATGGCAACAATTTGGAGAGCATCTGAACAATTCATCATAAAAGTTTTTCAGAGTTGGATCTTTGTCATTTTATTTTACTAATATATATCCGAAATCCACAAGAAGAAAAGGGATTGTCCTATATTTCATCATAGTAAAATAATATGCCAATTCGTCAAATACTATGAATACTGATTGAAAATAGGTTGCTCTCCCATCACATGATTGAAACAGCCTCTATATCCAAAATAGTACAGTACTGTTAGTAAAAACATCAGATTATCTTTTTCCTCTAGATTTCTTTAAAGGAAGACTTTATACATTCATGGAAATTAAGCCCACTCTATCGGTATCTGTTTGTCAGCCTGGTAGTACATTATCCAAGAATCTGAAGCAACTTGGGTCCACTTGCTGAGGAATACTAGTTGAACTTGGCAAATTTTCATTGGTTCAACACTTCCAAAACAAGAAGAACTAGAAAGAGGTAAATCAGAACTGGAATTACTTCATTGTGCATACCTTTATTTACAGATTGAGATGGTAACTATAAGATTTAGCCAAAAGCATTGTAGGTTTGAATAGGCATTTGAAGGAGTATTATGCAAGAGTTCTCAGAAGCTCCTCAAGATCTAAGCAAGAGGGGTATAAGCATAAAAGGTAATGATTTCAAGAGCAAAAAGCTTTGGATTGGCTGACGGAAAAGAAGGGAATGAAAAAATATTGGAACAGAAGAATAAAGATATTGAGGTGAGTGGGAGCAAAGCCATGGAGACCTTTGAAAACAAAGAGGGAGATGTGGTGTCACCCCCAGGAGCAAACAAGAAATCAGTCAGAAAGCAGATGATGATCCTTAATATATTTCTGACTTCATTACATTTTTGTTATGTCATCATTTCCATTAGATTTCTACTAATAGTGTTACTATTTGGTATGCTATCCCTCAGATATTTCCATGCCTCTCAGAGATAAAAGCAGACTTAGCCCAACATTCCTGGAATAAGAGCAGTCAAGAAGACAAGCCGCTGCATATTGATAAACTGCAGCTTCTCACATTTCTGATGAAAAATCTGTGATAGCAAAATTACAATGGCTGTTAAAACTATATTTCGTCCTTGGAATCATAAGCAGAGGCTTTTATATATATATATATATATATATATATATATATATATATATATATATATATATATATATTGTAAATATATATATATATATAGTAAATATATATATATATATAGTAAATATATATATATATATTGTAAATATATATATATATATTGTAAATATATATATATATATTGTAAATATATATATATATATTGTAAATATATATATATATATATATATATATTGTAAATATATATGTTTTCTGATATATATATATATATATATATATATATATATATATATTTACAATATATATATTGTAAATATATATAGTAAGCAAAATCTGGCAGTTATGATTATGATGCCACCCTGCCAGTGAAAAAGAGACGGTGGGAGGGACAAAATCCAGGATTTTAAAGAAAGCAACACAGTAGAGGACCACTGGTCTAAGAAATCAGGGCGGACAGTATGAATTTCTTGTAAGTTGGTCTTGCATGGTTTACAACATTATACAAGCATTCCTTGTTTAACTATAGCAATTGGGACAGGCAATTCCATTGCTAAGTTTCTCATGACATGATTGGCATTATTTAGTTTAAAAAACTAGAATATATTCACAGGAAGTCTTGATAATTAATGTTTATATAGTCTATGTCAGGGGTAGGCAACCTTGGCTCTTTTATGACTGGTGGACTTCAACTCCCAGAATTCCTGAGCCAGCCATGCTGAGGGAATAGGGAGAGGTTTCCAAGCTGAGCTATGCTGGCTCAGGAATTTTGGGAGTTGAAGTCCACGAATCATAAAAGAGCTAAGGTTGCCTACCCCTGGTCTATGTTAATCCTAAATATGCTGTCTTTCTTAAGACCACTAGTGTCTTGCTAGGTCAGACCCATGTTCACCTAATTTGGTCAGAGTTCCATTGATCACCCACCTGAATTTGACCATTAGTGCATCTTATTTGCAGGCCCTTGGCAGGGGTGTCAACTGCTGGCCCATGGGCCGGATGCATCATGCCAAAATCGCGCCCACCCCATTGCTGACATTGGAAAAAAAGTCATGATACATCACGACACGTCACGTGACGTTGCGAGTTTGACACCCGCTTTAGGGCATTAACATGGAAAGCTTAAATATACCTAGAATGATGCTTTTATAGAACTAGATTCCTCAGCTTGTGAGAATTCTGAGACCTGCAGATTCTTATCAGTATTAACCGTCCCTCCCATTTTGTTTTACTGCACCTACCCTCCCTTCCCATTTTCTGCTAATCCTTACCTCCATAAATGCTAAAAATAATAGCCTACCATTATGGCCAAATAGTGTACAAGTTAGCATCTCATGTTGACAGATACATGAGCACTCTTTAGTTTTACAGTACCTGTTATAACTTAGAAATCAGACAATGACACTAAATGTGAAGCTGTTTCAGCAGGACCATAGAATGGCAGGACAACACAAAGATAAGAATCACCCAAGGCTGATCAAATACAAGCACCATGTGAGCAGCTGGAGAAGTCAAATGATGATGAGGTAAGGCCTCCCAGCCCCTGCACCTGCACTTGCTGAATAGTGAGCAGAGCAGAGACTTCTATAAGGCTCCTTGCC